CAAAATAAAAATGTCTAGATGTTTCAGGAGCCCAGTGTAGAGTTTAAATTAAGGCATTGGGGCTACAATATTTGTTGGCCTTTATTTTGTGTTGAATTTTAAAATCTTTGCTGTTTAAAAATAAAAAAGCACTGAATTTTAAATAACTTGCCTGAAGAGTTCTTCAAGACTGGGACCTGATGTTGCCATCAGGTGTTTCAGTTATTTTAGGCAAACTAACTAGATGAAAACACTTGCTTTAAGACTTTTAAAGATTTCAAGATATTTTCCCTTAGAGACTTGAATAGTAATATTTACTGGGGATAGGTATTATGAGGAGTGTGTATCCCTTGACCTCTCTTATTCTTTCCCTCCTTTTGACCCAAAGTAAGCAGTTCAGGTGTATTAGGCACTCTTGTTACTGTGGCTGTGATATAGTAATGCTTTTGGGCTTCTGATCTACATCTGAGTGTTGCTAATTAACTTACACAGCTTGTACCAAAGACCACTTATAGATACAAAAGGTGCCTGTAGTAATTAGGGGAAAAAAATCCAACCAATGGAAATTTTTACAACTTCCAACATTGGACTTATGTTTTATGATTACAGATGACCTTAATGTAAGTGGTATCATCGCTGCTGTAGTATTTGTGGCTCTGGTAATGGCATTGTGTGGCCTTGGAGTATTTTATGCCCAAAAAAAGGGCTACTTTACAAGTAAGTGAAATAAAATCACTCCTTCCTTGTATCAAAAAAAAAAGTCTGTACTTCTGCTGGCTGTAACATATCCTCCTTTTCAGGGGGGCTCTAACTCCATGATACTAAAGCTAAAGAGCTTTACAACAGCAACTTTTTTGGTGTAGACGTTTTTTATTCTGCTGACTTCTACTGCAAACAGTACTTAAAAAAACTGACATGGAGACGTTTGCAGTTGCCTAAGGCTACTAAACAACAACCTAGAAAAAGCAACGAGCCAAACCCTGGTTGCTGGAACCTCTCTGCTCTAGTTTTGAGCATGGATGGTGAAGAAAGGCAACAAAAAGCAATCCGTGACCGTTTACTTTTAATCTAAAAGGTTTGAGCGGCTGAGTTCTGGTGAAGGGGAAACAAACTGGCTCCCTCTTCTGGGTCGTGGAGAAAATTTGCTTTTAGGGATTGCTGCAAAAAGCTCGACACCCTCTCCGTAGTCTTTCCATTAGTGCCGGTAGAGTTCAGCAGAATAAGAAGGGATGCCAGATGTCGGGGTCTGGGAAGGTCTGCTGCCTGAAAGTAACAGGCTAACGGAGCTGCAGTTAGAGTTCATGTTCACTTCGAAGTTCATTTACCTTTGAAAGCTACATAATCTTTTTCTGTTTAAACTCACTATACCAAAAAGAGACATTTGATACAGAAACTCCTCCTAGAAACTAAAGAGCTGAATAAGCTATGAATAACTATTTCAAAGAACTTTAAATCAGCTAAGGAAACTATTCTTGTGCTAATTCTTTTTTTTTTTTTTTTTTTTCTTCTCCTTTTTTCCCCAGAGGAAAACTCTTCCCAGTAAGTATCTTGATGCAAGCAGAACACAAATCACTGCAAACTTCATTTACATTTCTGATGATTTAATAACTGTGATGATTAAGGCCTTTCTTACATGATTCTTTTACAGTGACTTATTTGAACACTGAAATAAACTTGATCCTACACACCAGCTGGTTCCCTTATTAGAACCAGTGCGCTGGTCAGAAAATGAATTTGTTTCCTCTTCAAATTAGACAAAACATGATCAGAACCAAATTGAACTGTCCTCCTATCCATGTCTACAGACTATTTCAGGAAACATTTTGTAAAAATATAACTGGTGGAAACTTTAAGGGTGTCTGGTCTGCTCCTTTGATATGGATGTATTTCTTGCACATAGATGTCTTAGTAGCAAGTGAGAATTCCTCAAGCTATTTTAGTGCTCCCACACAAGGCTAAAATTTTATCTTCATTGGAGGCTGGCCTCCCTTTTTTTTTTTTTTTTCTTTTCAAAGTTTATTATTGTACTTCTAGGTAATAGCAGGTTAAAAAAATAGTAATGTACTAAAGAGAAATACAAATATTACTTTAAAATACTGTGTGATTTATACTGGTCATGAACTAGACAAAAAGCATAACTAAGACTTGAAAAAACAAGGTAGGGAAGGTAGTTTGACAGTGGCTTGTGAGATAATGACAGCTATCTAAAAGCATTCAATGAATGTGTTATTGTAACTTTTTTCTAAGAGGGGGAAAAAAAAATTAAGGAGTGCTGGAAATCTGGAAAAATGAATTCATAAATAATGTTCTCAAAGGGTTAATGCTAACACCAGAAAAGTGACTTATTTAACCTATGTTCCTTTCCTGCTGTTAACAGAAAGAAGACTAACTATCAATCTACAAGTGAAAAGGCAAGTATTTTGCATTCAGTATTGTGTTTTTAGATGTCTTCAAACTTCCTTAGATATTTGATGGTTTTGCACGTATACACACACACACCAACCCATCCATGCCACCAATACCTGGAGATACCTTCTGTGCTTTTATAGCTTCCTATTACTCAGTTTCAAGTGCCATACAACTTCAGCACCTTGCTCCATACTTTACTTTTTACCACACTAACCAGATTTTTACCCAGTTGTCTTTTACCTACCTCTTCCTACCTTTCCCTGTTCTATTAGCTTCTTTAATTTTTTTCTTCCCCATTTTCATGATTACTTTCCCTCTATCAGAAAGAGGCAGCACCCTTACACTGTTTGGCACTATCATCTCTATACTGTCCACTTAATAATGCCATTTCTTGAAGTGAAGACTTCCACTCTGCCTTGCTTATATGTATTAGTTAACCAAGGAAACTGACACAGTCCAGGGCAGCAGTGAAAGACTGGGCCTTAGTTAACTCTCAGAGAGTAATGAGTCAAAAGGCTTGACTAAAGACGAAAGCTAAACTTGATAGGTTTTTTCCCCCTTCCTCACTGGGAGGGCTCAGGGGCTTTAACTGCATACATTGTTCAGATGGGTGCAAAAAGAATGGAGTGCCAGCTAAAGCTTCAACTAGAAGTAACATAATTTCACTATCTGTAGTGCTACATTAGTAGACTGAAAAGCTCACTGAATGCAGCTCATTTCTTTAATCAAAATAATGTACTAAATAGCATAAGCTTATTCCTTCACCTAGTATGTATATAAGAAATGTACAGAAGCCAACTGATTACTCTGAGTTGGAAGGAACAAACTTTGAAGAGCTGTGGTATCCGTTTATCAGTATTAATGCACTTAACCAGGTGTTCAGAGCTGTTTGCTTGTAAACATTAACCGACAGTGCTCCAGGCATGCTTCTTTCCAGTCTTGATGCTTTTAGTTTCTTCTGAAATGTACACTAAAGGTTAATCTGGTTAAAATCTTTGAACTGTTATTTATGTAACCTTATCTGCTTCATTTAGGATTTCAAGCATACCAAGTCCTTTGTTATTTAGAAGATTTCT